TCTATTTCCATTTTTATTTTTATCCTTACTTTTATTTATGTATATACATATACATACATTTCTATTTTGTATATTGTAATATAAGTATTATTTTTATTCTTTACCATGTGTGAGTGGAACAACTGTAACAAACAGCAACAACACGTGGCCATAAAAAAAATTTAAACCAGGATTTAAAGTGCACGGGATTTTATGCTCTTTGGACTTAATGGCACCCACAGTACAACCAACAGCATTCCAGTTTTTTTTTCTTCCACAAAGATGTCTGTTTTTTGTTTTAAACGTAGGTGCAGCTCTGTAACATTTGAGACTAATTGTGGCCCGCTGATAACTGTTAAGTGTAAATTTTTTAAGTCTAGTAGCCTTGAAGCCCTTTTACAAAAGGAATGAAAGATACATGGACCTTTACACTTATTGTGATTAAAAAGGGAAAATATTTATATGTATGTACCCCTCTGGGGCCTGTACCGTGATAAATAAATAAATACGATACATCTTTGTGGTGTAAATGTGTTGAATATATCACATAAAACTGCACCGGCATACCAACATCTCTGTTAACTACCTGGCCTTTTAGCACAGCATGGCTAATTATATCACTGCTAATCCTCTTAGTCCAAGAAAGGCTCAGCCATGAATGCCAGCACCCCATTATTATTTTATTAATATGCACTTTCTTATCAATACATCATTATCACTATTTGCACTTTATACATTAAGTCAAGGCATTTGGCTAAAAAAAAAAAAAAAAACAGACAGGGAAAAAAATAGGAAGAATGTTTTGTTTCCTCTTAAAAAGCTGTGGTCATTTAAATAACATCTGGTAGATTAGAGAGGGGAAGTAACTACAACAGGGACATCCAACCAGACACTTCCAGGGAATCTGGCTGATTGAGACACTTCATTACTGGGCCTTCACAACCAGCCTCACCCCTTCATAAGCACTGATGTCAAACCTTGATCCTGTTTAAATACTATAATTGTATGCTTAGTCTCTCTGCAGCACTGAATGTGCATCTTTTACAGTTTTTAAACCATTCAACCTGCCTAATGGCAACAGTTTCATTTAAAACATCAACCTTTTAATGCAGCTCGTGCCTGAATCAAACCGGCAAAGTTCCCTTCAGCTTGCTGTAACGCCCCACTTGTGCCTCCACGACGCAAAATGCTGGATCACCAGTGAGTGTCTGTGTTGTGTCACAGTTCTACAAGAGTACCCATTTGGCAAATAAACTTTGAAAGCAAAACAGAATATAACTGAATACAAAATATTTCACATCATTACTGAATGGTGGTAAGTGGAGAATTGTTGACAAAGAAGTGACACAGTCATGCTCTTCAATAACAAGAAAGTAAACTAAGAAGGAAAAATTATCCACAGATAAACTCCAGTTCTGTTGTTTGGCTTTGAAATAATAATAATAATGACATGTGGTAAAAGGGGTAAACAAGGGGGGGGGGGGTCTAAATTAAAAAGACAGTTTGGAGAATCAAACCATTTAAATTATAGCCATTTCGATTAAATGTTTATGAATTATTGGTCAAAGTACAATACGGAGCAATATGTTGCTCTCTCTATACAAAGTGGGAATTTTAGATAATTTATTCTTTCATTTGGACAGAGTTCAACATCTTCATTCTTCACTGAATTGTTGAATTATGATCAAAAGTCTTTAGCTTGGGAATGACCAGAAAGTCTGTGTTAAATCAAAAAGTCTCCCAAGTCTCCATCAAACTGTCACTTTCATAGAGAAGTCTGTCCTTCAAAATACGTTGTCTGGACATGTCGTCTCAGTCCAGCTTTAGTTTTTACTTCTCCTCCCCTCAGCCGCTCGTCTTTTCTTTAAGCGAAGAAGACGACAAAGATGATGAAGAAGACGACGAGGACGAGAAAGATCTTGATCATCAGCCAGCGGTTGGAGGAGACTGACTGGAAGTATTTGAGGATCTCTGTGTGGGCAGACTCCACGTTCAGCTGGGTGTCCTCCACGTTAGCATCAATCCTGTGAGAGAGACATGACAGGCAGTTCAGTGAGAGAGGATGACAGATGCTATAAGCTATATAAGCTATAATCTCTACTGTCAAATCAGTCAGTTTGGGAGGTAACTGGCAAGTTATCTTGGCAAGCATGATTAAATGTCTCAATATTTTAGTCCATAAAGTGAAAGGTATTAATGTGAACTGAAATCATTTAATAAAGTCAATACTCAAACTCTGTAAGAACTCGTTTGCTCTCAATTTCCCCTTTTTTACTCCAAGTTTCCTATTTTTTCTGTATTGTTAAATTATTGCTCATAAATCATTTCAAAATACAACCCCCCACAAACTCACAACTTTTCTAGTTGTTACATTTAGGTTTTTTTTTATAGAATGTGTTTATTAGTAGAGCTTCAGAGATCCTTGTATGTGGATGGTCTGAGCCTCAGACAGAACCAGGTTAGTTGTTTACAGTCTCTGTGCTAATCTAAGATAATCTTGCTCAAGCTTCATATTTACCACAAACACGAGAGTAGTGTCAGTCTTCTCTTCTAACTCTCAGTAGAGAGAAAGAGAGAAACTAGCATCCTTCCCAAAATGTCAAACTATTCCAAACTAACATCTCATCATTTCCTTAGTTTCTGAGAGATCTCTCTTTCACCGACTCTCCATCTTACCTTTGGATGGTCTCCTCTTGCTCCTTGACCATGTGTGCCAGCTGCTGGAATATGGAGCCCAGTTCTACGATGGTGCTCTCAATATTCTGCATCGTGTCTGCACGGCTCTGGATGTATGAGTCCTGTAATGGCACACCCAGCAAATTCTCAAAAATGGGCCACGTTGACCTATTTGGTCACATTTTTCACCTAAGATTTTATCCTCCAATGTTTATGGTGGAAGATTTTCTAATTCTTGGTACAAATAAATAACAACACTGTGCACCAACTGACTTTAAAAATAAACAATAAGTAATAGTTTTCCCAGTTTCGAGCTAGCAAATTAGATGCACACATTCCTCTTCATCTGCCCGTCTTTAACAAATATACACCAACAGTCTACCTGCTCATCAATAAGCTGGAGCTGCAAGGGATTGGTCTGCGAGTCCATATCGATAGCTACATCCCCCATACTCCTGGACTCATCCTGCATCAGGACCGAGCTCTCTAAAGAGAGACAACAAGCAAAACACACACACGTGTTCAACAAGATCAGACAGAAATCCTCAGTGATAGAGCGGAAAAAAACAGCGGGCACATACAGTGGCTAGTTATACCCGCTGGGAGAGTCAAACGTTCCAGGGAAATACCTTTTAAATTTGAGGTTGTATTGCCCTGGTAGTCATAGCGCGGCTCGCGAGCTGCATGCGGCTCCTGGGCCCCTTTTTTGCGGCTCCCTAAAATATTTTTTAATTTTTGCATTATAGATGACCAAATACAGTAATAATCATTCACAAGGATTTCGAGCAGTTCCCTATTACAACAGCTGTTCGAAAAAATACACTGCCAGTCCAAATGTTTCTGTACGTCTACGGCTAAATACGTTTGTGGCTAAAGTTCAACCATTTGCTCATTGTAAATAACCTAAAAATAGTAAATATAAACTAATAGAGCTTTTTATTTATTGCAATAAAATATAATAAGCTTGTTTTTTCTTTGTGATGAGTAGACATTTGGCTCCACGTGTGTTCCAAAAGATGTAAATCTTTCTATTTTAATACCCGTTTCTGGAAAATACTTCAATCATAATAGTATAATCTGTACATTGTTAAAGGCAGACGCACTGGAGCCTAGACAGTTATACTCTATGTCTAATATCTAATTTTCAATTAGATATAGGTTTTTTCCAATAAAATATTTAAAAGACTAACCTTTTTTAACTCTCATACCAATTTGTTAGCTATATTTCAAGATATCAACAGTGAGCACAATGTTTGAGATTTAACCAAAAAGGTTGAAATATAGACGGTCCATAAACATTTTACTCGCAGTGTAAATGCCTGCACAGGAAGCATGAGCACCCTGTGCTAATTTAAAGGGTCTCTGGTAAGAAGCCTGTTTAGCAAAACGTTTGAGCTGTTTATTTAGCAAAACTGTAAACTGAGCAGGAGCCAGACATGTCGAATATTGCCTAATAGCCAAAACAATGAAACAATAAAGGTGTGTTCACTCTATTACACTTTTTGAAACTGCCAGCAGTATTTTTATGTTAGATGAAACTGATGATGAGCGTGGCAATATTTACATAAGTTTTACAATTGATTTATAAAGTTGGATATAATTTGAGATGGTAGAGTTTGTGCTGCAGAATGAGACCAGATGTTATGATAGAAATCTGTGTGTGTGAGTGTGTTACATTTTTATCCATTTATTTTTAAGTTGTGATTTGTCCAAACCGAGTGAAGCGTGAACACAAAATGGTGCTGAGGCAAAAAACAAAACTTAAAAATAGAGTGAACACGCCCTTCATGAAGCTAAAACAGCATGCGGTGTTTCCCTTATGGTGCCATTACTTTAACGCGAGACCCTTGTAAAAATCACAGTGAGTACAAGCGTGAGGCTTAGATGTGGACACTTACTGAAGTTGTTGGCCATCAGAGGAGAAGATGAGACGGGAGGCTGGGAGAACTGCTCTCTCCTGCTGCGCTGCTGCTTCAGGTTCTGCAGGAAAGGGGAAAAAATAATGGAGGATGTTTAACATGGCTGAGAATAAACTTCTGCCGCATTTTTAAAACAAATTTCTGCCTTTTAATGAGAACGTATATTAAATGTTTCTCACCTCTGTTCTGACTTCAAGGACTGATTTGAAGTCATTGGACATTGAAGCCAGTTTGGACTGTGAACAACCAAATATACAGCAAAGTTAAGCAAAGTGCAGCTTGATTGTGTATTTGTTACAGAGAACCAATGTGTGAACGAAAACTATACAAACATTATCTGATGGCGTTATATGAGCGATCATCTTTTTTTGTTTCATATATATATCTACCACGTCACGTTCAGCATGTCGTATTGTGTTTCTTTTTTTGCATTTTTCTCTTTGTTTCTTATTTTTTTTATTTGCACAGTCACTATTGTTGTAGCTTTTGTTTCTTGCGCAATAGAGGAACAAAAAGGCTGGAAAAATGTGCGAGATACAAAATATCTTCCTTGGAAGAAAAAATAAATATTTGTATTCTTAAAGTTACACAATTTCCTTTTTTTACCTAAACATGAAGAAAAGCTCAACCTGATTCAAGGTTTCAAAAAACTTAAAATAAAGAATATATTAAATTTTAATTCAAAAATTATGTCCAAATTGGCAAAAAAA